TTAACAACACCTCGACTCTACTATCATCGTTGACCCCGCTCGAAACCACTTTGATAATTACCCAATCACTTGCAGTGGTGATTATTCCAAACATCTCAATTTCTCGCAGGGCTGTGTCATAGGAGCGCTTTTTATTGCGTTGCATGGATGCTTGAAGTTGGATCGTACACTGGCCCACACCTTGATTGATATCTTCCCGCTTCGCCTCCGTAATTACAATGATCATGTCGCGCACTTTGATTGCCCAATCGACTGGACCCTTCCCATGGCTTCCTGATATTTCGTATTGCGGACAAACCTTGACTTCACCGTTGAATACCGACGCGACACCATAGATGACCGATGAAATGAATTCGCAACGTGTTGCCTCATTGGCGCTGAGAATCGATTGCGAGGCTTTATGTTTCATGATTATATCTTCCACGACATGACGTAGGACCTCTTTATACTCTGACGTATCGGCACGGTCTGCATCGAATTTGGGTAAATCGACGAAGCTGTCAGCTGATAATGAGAAGAGATTTTTCATCTTTCCAAAAGTCCACGAACTGAATGGTTGTTGCGACGTATCGACGACGAATGCTAAGTCACCCTTGAAGGAATCACTCCAGATTATATTTACCAAATCCGTATCATTCAGAATTCGAGTGGTTATGCGCTCCTTTCCGCTACCAATCTCACGGCTTATGGTTATGTCCTCATCCTCAGTGCCGTCGGGAAATGTGAAACAGGTGCGAAGACGAGATTTAAGCTCCGTTAGTGTGGTTTTAACCCGGTTTGTAGGCCACTGAAAATTTACCATATTGTTGCGACCATATGAAGCGGTGCAGTTAATCTCTTTCGCGAACTCCGGTGGCTCGACTATGACGTGAATATGTCTTTTAGGTGGGTTCTCGGTCCAGTAGTCTTCTACGTCTCGAGTTGCGAGGAGTTCGTCGTCTAATGTGGGGTTGGCGAAGTCGGAATCGCGATCGTCAGGAATTTCAACCTTCCACAGCTTGATGTCTTTGGCGTCAACATTAGCGAAAGTTTGCGGTTGCTCCGCCTTGATGACTTGCCACTATCAATATCAACAGCGAACGCATTCGCGGGTAAGTTTCCTTTAACCAAACAGACCAAAGTAATAGACATTTCGAGTTATATATGATTTTTTGGTGGATTTTTATTGGTAGACTGCGGATGGGACACAAGAAAAAAGCGAAAAAAACGATAAATGGAGCAGGCATGGGTATATGTGAAAAAGTGGTCGGTCACACAATGCTATGTATCACATTACTTTTCGGTAGAAATTTTTCCGGGTGATCGTTCTCCAAGGGAACTGTTTTATATCATATGATATGTCGCACTACATGCGTTTTTTTTCTAGAAATTCTGAAACTTTTCTATCATGCGCACAGGCTAAATGTTTTATTTTATTGCAGAACAATGAGGTTCCCTCTACGAAAAAATTGCCTCGAAGGCGATAACTGATATAAATAATAAAATTTGCGAATATATATCACAATTACATGATATGAATACGAAAAAAAAATCTAATTCTCTTCTGGTAGAGGTTTTATGAGGATATAAATAATATTACGATCGAGATTCTCACTGAAAAAATCACTGATTCTAGCTTCTGATGGCATATTTGCGTATATCACAATTCCTGAACAAAATGCACAAAGATGATAATTAACGTGAGTTAATCTGTCTGGCAATAGAAGTTGAATTAGTTCTCTGAGTGTTCTCTCTGTTGATGTAATAAAAATAGAAATTATGTGAATTCAGTAAGGTAAATTATGGAATGTATTAATAGGCATAAAGAGACAGTTGAGATTAATGCTGGCACTGGTAGTTTCACTTATTTTACGTTCCTAAATAGAAAGATTCATAGTGAATATGATAACGCTTTCATAGATATTCAAATAGATGTACCTTTTAAAATTTGTGAGAAAGTAAGAGATCAACTCTGGATGATTCCTGCTTATTTATAATACTTCATTATATTCGACTTCGAACTTGCTAGAAGAAAACTAATATTGTATTATTTGAAGGATCGGTCATATAATCTTGAAAATTAATAGATTTCTTATCTTGTGTAGCTAGTCTATAAATACCAAGAATTCAACAAAGAAGAGACATATAAACATATTATGCAGTTTTGGTGAGAATGAAATCTCTTTAAATTTGAGATTGCTCCTGCAAGACAGACTAGTTAATACAATAATTATCTCTGCAATCTCTGAAATCTCAACTTCCCATAACTTGGAGTTTTTGATATGAAAACTGATGATGATTATCAAGTTCTTTTCTCTTGTAGACTTTTATCATCTTGTTGTGCATGTCTTATCACAAAAGCATGTGTAGAAGAAAGATATTTTTCTATGTAAAATAAAGTGAAAAAAATAATGATTATCTATATAGTACAGTTGCGCAGATTTCATGAACTTCTATTCCAGTTATTTAATAATTTCTGATTTTTTAATTATTCTGATTGAATGGATGAATAATAGGAGATAGTACATGATATTACTTTCTTGATGCTCATTATAACATGATATAGTGAAATAAATTAAATATATTTTTATTACATATTATATTAACAAAAAATATCTTATGAATTATATAATCAGATTTCTAAGTATATAGATTTTAGTTCTGAAAAAATCCATCTTCCAATTATAGATAAAGATAAATAACTTTTTCGAAAATTAATAACAGATTAGGAGGAGATGATTGATATTATAATAAATAAGTATCAATTTTTACTTCATCATGAATATAACTATAAGGATGAAAAATTAATATATATAATGTGGATATATATATGTACTGAAAAAAGTACTGAGAAAGTATTAGTAAAGATATCTCCATCAAAAATATTATCTAGAAAGGTTTTAGTCCATATTGAAGAATAATTCAAAGATCTTCCACTCATACCAGTTATTATAGTTAATTAGATAGATCATTATTCTGAAATGTAAATACAGTTAATATGCTTATTTTTATGATATTTTTGGATAGGAGAAATAATCTTTTTCTTTTTAATATGAACATGATTCTTTCAGGGTTTTATTGGGTCAAGATCATATCAGTCTGAATCTGTGAATTCTGAATTGAAGCTGAATGAATTAGTCTTTGTCTCAGATTTGTTATGAAATATTTCATAACATTTCTTTTATTACTTATTATTATAAAATAATGACTCTTCAAGTTTATCTTCAATATTTAAGAGAATTTTGTTAATTATATTTATAATATTTTCTTGAGCTAGACCAGATTTAGATTCTGTTGATTTAGGAATAAAGTTCCATGATTTAGAAAATCACCTAATAGTCTGCTTTGCAATAGATAAGTTATTTTTAGTAGAGCTAACTTTATAACTCAAAGAGTTATCTGTAGGTCTGCTATCTTCTTCAATTAATAGGATACTCATATCATCTATCTCAATTTTAGCATAGTGCTTACAATTTTTCAGAGAAAATCCAAAGCTAATTTTTGCTTCATATATTCATAACCAATCCCATCCTAGCAGCAAATCAAATAATAGATTTTTGCAAATTTAAAAATCTATTACTTTGGTACTATCTAAACTTCATTACTTTTCTTTATACTGAAATTGCAAATCTAAGCATTTTATTTCTTTGCCTATCAAATCATCACTGGATATATCTTCTAATTCATAATCTTCTTCAAGCTTATTATACAAGTGCTTGCTAATAATATTAGATTTAGATATTATATTGATTAATACTTTTACTAGAATTTTACCTTCTACAAGTATATTGATAAAAAGCATATCAAAAATTATTTAATGATATATATTATAACTGAAAAATAACTCAGTAAATAATTACCCATTCTTTGATACTAAATAAAATTATTTGTATATCATGATAAATTAAGATTAATCTTGCTAATCTCTTTAATATAATTATTGAATGCTGAAATAAAATTGATATTATGTATCTTAACACTAGCTCTATTATTATCTTGTATTACTCCAATTATAACAGAGAGAGATATATCCACTTTAGAATCACTAAATTCAGTTTCAGAATCACTAGATTCAGACTCTGTTTTAGAGTATTCTAAATCATAATATTTATTCAGACTATTGAAGTCGTATTTATGTTTGGAAAATTTGATTATTATAGCTTCTTTATCTGACTCTATTATAATAAATTTAGAGAATAATAACTCATAGAATGTATGTAATGAAAGAGATAATTCCCAAATACTATATCTTGCATGATATTGGCTTTTTTCTAATTCTTGTTCTTCAATATCTTTAGATCTATTAATATATAGTGATGGTTTTTTATACTTATTAACTCGATATCTTATATGCATTAATCATATATATCCTAAAATCAAATCATATTCAGACTTGTCAACAATTACAAAATTTGCTATATCTATTCCTAAATATAAAGAGAGTACTATATCATCAAAGATATTTGGCAAAGTAACAGAAACTTTTTCTCTGTTAATCTAATCCCTCCTTATTACTTTCTTACTAGTATTTGTTATACCAATACCAAGATTTTTTACTGCAGGATATCTTGATCTATATTCTCTAGAAATATATAAATTTATTTTTTTGATAAGTGTTTTGCTAATACTATCATGCTGGGACTTAGGATTAATTAGCGTTTTAACAGTTATATTTTTATCAATGAATGTATAATCTATTATTAATCTTTTGCAAATTTCTCTAATTACTTCAGCTTTCCATATATCATCTAAACTATAGCAATTTTTAAGTTCTTGGATCAGAAAATACTTCATTATGAATAGTATTAATTCTGATGAAAGAAGATTAAGTAAATTAGGTATTACTAATTAGTATATATTAGAAATAACTAATATTCAGATAATTAATTTAGGTATATATATTATTTATTTTCTGGATATTCTCAATCATGCTTAACTTTGCAATCAGCTCATCTAGAACAATGACTTCACTCTTTCTAGTCACTAAAATAATTGATTTATCATTTATCATACCATAATGTTTGACTGATGAAGCATAACCTATCTTATGCATATATACCAATTGTTACAAATTTTAATAACCAGTATAATTCTTACCTTCATGTATTCTAAAAGCATGACTAGCACCTATTTTTCTTAACATATATGAGATAATTCTATAATAATTCAAGAATTGATTAAGTAATATAACATTAGTATTTCCATCCTTATCTTTTAACAAGAAGAGAAATTTATCTGATATTGATCTCTGAATCTAGCTAAGTAATTCTCTTGTTTGTATTAGATTTTTTTCTATTAAAAGGAATAGTCATGATTTTTTTATCTCATCTTTATTTTTTGCATAACTAATACAGTACCAAGAATAGTCAGGATCATATCATGACTTACGACTTGATTTGTATTGGTTGATATGAAAATTTTCCACATCTGCTAATTGTATACATAGCATTATCATTATATTTATTAGATTTTGCATTGAAGGAGACTTGATAATATCATATTCGCTAAGTCTTTTCTGAATCTTTTTCAGATAAAAGAACTTAGGATAATCATAACTATTAATTCCACAAAGTGTATGCTTTCTTGCTTGAATCTGATTTGCTTCTTTAGTAATAAAGAGTATTTTTGTTATCTTAATAATAAGATAATTAGCTCCTAAGCTATGCAATTTTTTTTGTAATAAATTAAGATGAGAATTTTCTGCAATAATAGTGGAAATAAAAGAAGCCAAGTTATATACTATTCCATTTATTTCTTCAGATGAGAGATTATTTTTTATAATATCTTGAGCAATAATTTTAATAGGATTTCTTTCATCAATATATCTTCCAGGAGCTCAAATAGGAATAAGAGTATTAGCTTATTTTTTGCTTAATCTCAACTCTTGAAAGCATCTTTTAGCCTGATCTCTGGCTTTTCAGATCTGCTCTTTTGTCTTATCATCTGAAAGTTTATTAGCTAACTCTTTGGTATAACTATTAAGCTGGGGTAAACTAGTTTGAGAAGTTAACTTGTAGTAATTTACAAATGATATAGTAATTTTTATCATGATTAGTATATATCAGTTAATATGATTGAGATATTTTATATAGATTATTTTTGTCTGATATATACTATGAAGATTCTTTTTTTAAATCAAAATTAATTATGCTTTTTTCTCCCATGCTCAGAAAAAGATAGTATATAACTACATATGGATAACTGATTATTGATTTGAAATTTAAATCATTCTTTAGTTTTTTAATATATACATTATTTATGATATATTCAAGAATTTTTAGTATACCAGAAGTATTAAAATGAATTTTATATTTCTTATTGATAGATAAATCTTTCTATCTCACTTTATATATTTTCTGATTGTGATATAGATGTGATGCTTCTATTCTATAGAAATGAGTTAAGTTAAATAAGAGTAATATATGAAAAATTTTTATGATAATAATATGGGAGCAGAAGCCAGTTTATTGCTTGAATGTAACTCATTTAAAAATTTCATATTACTACTATCTTTTGAATAAAAAATTCAAAATTATTACAGATTTACTTTCAAATATAGTTTATTTAGATTTCACTTTTAGTGAGAGATTTAGTGATAAAACATTAAATCAAATAGCAAAATCATATTCCTATCTAAAATATTTCAACTTGGTAGAATATAGTAATAGATTAATAACTGATAAAGATTTATACATAATCATAAATTCATATCATAAATTAGAATATCTGAATATCTCTCACTGCAAAGAATTTTCTAAAATAGTGATTTGAAATGTTATTTATTCTTGTCCAAAACTTCAAGAGTTTGATATTCATGAATGTAAAATTTCCTATACAACTATCAAGAAAATTGAATTATATCTTAAAATAAAATATATTAATCCAGATATCGTTAACAGATATTTGAAAAGAATCAGTCAGATTCATTGATTTGAAATTTACTGATATATAGATTATTACAAAAAAAAATTATAGCTTTGAAGTTGTAATCCAGGCTATATTAATTGAGTATTATATTTTATTTTTATTTTTTAATATAATTTTCAAATGGTGATAGAGAAATCAAGAGTTTTTCTTCTTTCTAATACATATATTCAATATGTATCAATTTATCATATATTAGTCTATTAATTATAATCATGCGATTTATTTTGGAATTATAGATTTTTGGCTTTTTTTAACAATTAATTAATTTTGATAATTGTTCAGCAGTAATCATTTCTTTGTTATATTCTGACTCTTCAGTATACATAATTGATATGTTACTAGTTATGAAAATGATAATAGTTAATTGTTACTTATGAAAATGATAAGTTTAATTAATTATTTCTTAAAGATCTGAATTATATACGAAAAAATTAATAATAATACTTATCTAGTAATTTGCTTTGCAAATATAAAAATTAAGTACATAGAGTTTCTTTTACATTCTTCTATTTATAATATCTATATGCTCTTTTTCTATCTTGTTCATATGGTACACAAAGCTGAATACTTGATTTAGTCTCTTGTCCATATCCTTTATATGGTTGGAAAATTATTATATCCTTTTTGAATTTTAAATATATAGGAGGTGTAATATTCCCCTCTTGCTAGATTTTTATATAAATAGATATCTCTGACTAATAACTAATTACAAGGCATTTTCAATTCATAAAGTAACTATATTATTCTATTATCACTTTCATATTTAAAATCAAAGTAGGAATGAAGTATTAACTAAAATTTTATCAAATAGTATTTTAGACATCACAAAAATTAGTATATAACATAAAGTTTGCATAATATTTTTTATCTGAAAATTTTTATATTGACTAGTTTATAGAAGCAAAAAATCCCTTCTATCTGTAAAATTCACCTTAGTATGTATAGTGATCTTACCATAGATATCTATTTTCCTGGAGTATTATTATTTTTTCTATTCATTCCTTATCATCATAACTCCTTGCTCAGGAATTATCATCATTTTTATACAATCAGAGCATAATTTTCTCACTTATTAATCATTCTTATCTAGATATATCTATTAATATATTTGAATCATCATCAGTATCTTTTGCAAATTGGATTATATCTGCATCCAAATATAATCTATCATAATATATATATGCTAAATCCCTATCTTTTTTCAGTTATAGTCATAAAGATATCTGGATTCTCGCCATAATCTATAGCCCATTATCTGAGATGTTTTTCCCTTTCTGCTCAGGATATATATTCAGATAGATATAATTCTAATTGGATTTTGACTTTTTTATTACTGGATTTGGATTCATTATTTGCAGGCAAGTTAAAAGAAATCTCAGATATATTATTCACCAAATTAATGATCATGAGAGAAGATTCTGATTTATCATTCACAAATTCTATGTGTACGATCTCAGGGAGTGGAGATATATCAGTAGATACTGATATTGAAGCAACTGAACATTCTGGTTGATCTATTATTAAGTTAAAGAGGTCTTAGAACATATCAGTAATGGCTAGGATAGATACTATTTTCTTATCTTTTTTGATATTATTAGTGATTAATAACTCAGCTATATTTTTCACTAATTGAGAATTTATTATAAGGTAATAACCCTTTGGGTCTATAATTTCAGGTATGTTAAATACAGAGATATCTGTGAATATATCAGAGAATATCTCAGCTTGAGATGTATCAGAAAATTTCTTGATATTACTTACCGATTCATATAACTTAGCCATAATTTTGGATTGATTGAGAATATACTGCCACTCTCTTTTTCCACCATCAGCATATTTTTGTTCAATATTAACTTGTAAAATTTTTTTCCTAAAATTATTATTACTGAATGGCTTTTTACTATTAGCTTCATATTATGTATAATATTCCTGATATAACATAGTATAACCTGATTTTTCAATTTGATCTTCTGACCATATCAAAATATGATTAATTAAGAATCAGATGGGATTTGGAAAATGCTTATATATTGTCTCTGTTTTTATTTTAGTAGTAGGAATATTTTCTTGTAGATTCTAATTTGAAAGATCTTGATCAAGTAAATAGCTCATAAAAGATTCAGATGTATCAGGATAGTTAAGAATTTTTCTCAACTGACCAAAATATTTAAAATTATCTTTATATTAAGATAAAACATCTAAATATATAATACAATCATCTTCTTGCTCAACACAAATTGGGATATCATGATTACTTAATACTATAAATCTAGAAAAATGATTAAATTCTTGATTTTTGAGATCTTTACACTTAATTGAGATATAGTCTTCTGTAATTAGAGATTTTAAGTGATCGTTTGACTTATGTTATTCTTTACTTAACATTTCTGTTTCATTCATAATTATAAGTTTGCATTCTTGAATATTATTATTGAATTTTCTCAAAATTTTATCTAAATTGGATATTGAATATATAAGCTCTGGACTGAATAAACTTTTTTGAATAAAATCAGTAATAATATTTTTTCTATATCATAGTGGTGAATGCAAAACAAGAATTTTTCTGGAATTATTACTGGATACTGAACTAAAAATACTAATTATTTGAGAATGTATATAGAAAGAACTTTATTCCTATCATACCAGATATTTTCTATATGCCATATAATCAGATTCACAAGATTATAATTAATTCAAGGTACCAATTTAGCCTTGAATTCTAAGAAAAGATTGAAGAATTCATTTTTTGATTGTTTGATATTAGGTGGATATGATAAGAAATTAATATTATTATAAATAATTATCTTGCTGTCATATATATAATCTATCAAAGAGATTAATTTTATTAGTTCTCCTTCAAGTTTTAC